GGAATCCGATTTCATAGCCTTGGGCTAAAACCTTAAATCATGGTCTTTAATATAGTACATATAGCTCTACCTTAAAGTCACTTCATCCAATTGAAGGGCCGTGATTCAAAGTTTTAGCGGGTTATAGTTTTTTTTTTCTTTTTTCGATAATAAACGTAAGGGGCTACATAAAATGGGGGTAGCTGCTTGCAGTTTTAGCAAGTTATAGCTTCAAGCATGGTTTTTAAAACTGACCCGGTGACTTAACTGGTCAGGGGTCCAGTTACCAGGTCGAACGGTCCTACAATTCAAATCGAAAGCTCGGCCCATTCTAACAAAAAAATAAAAAATATTCAAAAAAATAAAAAACGGTCAAAACCATTCGAACGAGTAACCATCCAGTTTAACAATTCGCTGACCAAAATCAACGGTTTTAAAGGAAAATCCGATTTTTGAAAAAAACAGAACCAGTCAGGTAGGATTTTCCGGTCCGGTTTTGAAAACCATGGCTTCAAGTAGCAGCTTGCCAGCTTTGCTTTTTAATTCAACTTATTGGACAATTTAGGGGGGCTCCAGGCACCCATGTATTGGCCTCCAAATCCGAGTTGGGCATGCTTTGATTTGTTAAGCTTGCTAGTGGAGGGATTTCCGATTTGAAGAGTCGAGAGGAATTATGCCTCCTTAAAGATTGTGGCGAGTGTAAGTAGGTAAACTCTAATTATTTTATCGAATGCACATCTGCGCCCCACTAACGCCCCACTCACAGCATATCCCAATTATGTATTGGAAACATCTCCCACTCACAACTTTGGGAGATGTTCCCAATGCATCTAAGATATGCATGTGGGGCGCAATCCCTAGTTTATCAATCTGCTCTCTACTTTTATTGGCTTGTCTCAAATTAAGGATGGCAATTTTTCCTCTTCTAAAAAACAGTAACAAATAGAAATGGAGAAAATATTTTTGCTCCTAATCAGAGATAGAACAGAATTAGGGTTTTATATAATTTTTCATATACATTCCAAACTTGATGGTAAATTAGTAGAATACCCTTAGGACATTTCATTTTTAAAATACCCCCCCCCCATTCTCATAATCTAATTTCAAAAATACCTCTAAAGTTCCATGATCTTATTTTTAAAATGCCCCCAAATTAAATGTATTTTTAAATAATTTACTTTGGAGTGAGAAAAATTTGAGGATTCCCCATCTTCGACAAGGAGTGGGCGTCCATGCCCTAAACCCGCCATGCCATTGGAGATGGGGTAAGGTATCTTGGCTATAGGGAGGGGGTGCCACACTGCCACGTCTTGTTGCCATTCCTACCTGGAATATTTCCAGTCAAACCGAGTCTCTTGGATCTACTATTCGCCATGTCATGTATAATAGGCTGCATAAACATAACCAATCACAAATGAACACACCAATGTTATGTACCACGTACACATGGATGGATTGTATGCAAAATACTGGCGTATTCACATGTGAGCAGCAGATCCTGCATGGTTTAGAAGACTACCGTCTGCTTATCAAAACTGGATTCAGTTAGTGCAAAGCCCGTTCGAACAACCATCATAGCCTTGCATTAGGAATATCTCCCCATGAAATAAAGCATAGAAGTACGGAAATGTTCCCAATGCAAGGCTGTTTGAACAGTGTTCGAACGGGCCTTGCACTGACTGAAGCCAATCTCCCGCTTGTCCAGCATGAAAGTCTCTTGGCTACTTCCAACTACCAAAGTATTTTTGAGCAGGACAGTGTTGTAGCAATACTCAACATACCCTTACAGCTAAGATCAAGGCAATCGGCCTACAGATCAGATCCTTAGACTTCAGTTTTGAAGGGGTATAAATACAAATGTGTAGAATGTAAAACCTTGTACTTTGTATATATTTGTATTGTACTTATTTTTATTTTTTATTTGTACTCTTTTCAAATCGAGTCTTAGGCTTCATTTGTGCCTTGATAAATCATTTATCTGAGCAAATGCTCCTATTCAGGTAAATGTTTCTTGGGTATCCGGATAAAAACACTTACCAGAATTCTTTTATTCTCAGGGAAAGATGTACAATGATCTATTTATCCAAAAAGTGACATTATCAAAGGGATAATATTGTCCCATCATGTATTAGCAATTTTTTAGCATACATGAGTAAACAAGTTTGAGGATAATATTACTTCCCCAAGTAAATGAATTACAAACATGAATTTATTTCTTTTCCATAGAATTTACCCACCCTTATTTCCCAAAAAGCTAATGATGTGTTAGTTACACAAGTTAAGTGCCAAAGCTGGTAAAACCACTAATTGGTCTGACATCTGGACTTTTTTTTTATTTTATTTTATACTCTGATGTGCTACACAAGTCGAGGAGTAGCATGTCATGCCCCCTCACATCACTCAAGCAAATAAAAACTAAGGGATCCAAAATATTATTTAGACTAAGGCTCCATTCGTTTTTTGGTAATTTAGTTAAGTGTTTCCCAAGAAAGACTTACCCGGGTAAGTACATTTATTCATGTTCTTTTATTTCCCATGTAAATAAGGCAATGACCATTTTAGCCATAAAAACTCAATATTAAAAGGGGTATTTTTGTCTCATTCATGTGTTAGCAACTTTTCCCACAAGTGGGAAAGTTATTTATCCACGTAGGAAATGGGTATCTGAAAAATAAACTTTCCCTAGTCACACCATATATCTGAAAAAAGAACATGGGTTTTTTGGTTAATGAAAATCAAAATCCCATTTACCAACTTTTCCCCCTTTCAAAATCCAGAAAAAGAATGCCCTAAAATGAACCCACACCATGAGACGAGATGATAGGAGCGCAGAATTAAGTAGCCAATCCGGACTCTAAGTACACCACTTACTAGCCAACTTTTTATCTGGTGCTTCTCCAAGGGTAAAGTCAAAACCAAAGGAAGTTTGTGGCATCAGGGACAGCAGCACTAGCACGACACATGTTGTGAAACTTGTGTCAATGGAGATGGAGAGGATACACAATTGCACTAAGTGCCCTTTCACTCCGGCCGTATGGCTGCAAGCCTAAAAATGGGAACCAACCCAGATTCAATTAACTCAGAGCGACCTATCAAAACATCCTGGATTGGTGGGCAGTGGGCTAACTCACACCCAACAAAGAAATGAAGATTGCCAAAGACCTTGAAATCCATATGGGATGGGATGATGCTCGAAATGAAGCGATTTTCAAAGTCAAGTCACCACTAAACCCCCTAATCGTTCTGCATCGAGCTCAAAGCTTTAGCTCTACCGGACCTGACTGGTAAAGCCCATCAGAACACGTGAGGACTGACAGAATCTACACCGATGGGTCATGGGACTCTGGGAGCAATTCACTCTCTTGGGCGGCGGCTATGGTAAATTTTGCATTGCACAACATAAACTATGACTGTGTTTGGAAACGATACAAATAAGTGTGAATGTAATAATTGCAAAGTTGGGTTAGTTTTGCATTTACAAATTTATTTTCTTATTAAACAAGTAAATTTAGCTGTAATAGATGCAAATACGAATTCCAATAAAGTATGACTCTTTTATCAAAACCCCACTTGAATGCAAATTTACTTCTTTTTTATTCATGTACTTTTACATCTTATTATCAACGTAAATATATATTAGAAAATGTATTTTCTGTCATTTGTCAATGCAAGCAAAAGTGAATCAGAATGCAAATTTACCATGAGCCGGGATTTATACTCCATTTGCATCGTTTCCAAACACAACCTATGTAATTTATTTAGATTAGAATCAGTTAAAATTCGGGTTGATATTAGATGTTAGATATTAATAACAAATTTTGTATATATCAACATATTATTGTATTTTTACAGTATATTAACGCCATCACTTGGCCTCACGTGTACAACTTTGATTCATTTATTTTCTTCTCTCCACTATCTAGTTAAATTTTATAGGATTAGTGATGGCCTGAGAGGTGGATTTATTTTCAAATGGAGGCATTCATGCGTCCAATCCGATTGTTGTGATTCAAATCAACTAAATTCTCTCCTATTTGTAGGGGTGACAATTGGAATGGATTTGGTCGAGTCTGATCCAATCCAATGTGAATCAATTACAAATGAATCAGGTCCAATCCAATCCAATGAATAATTTGGACCATTTTAGACTGATCAATTCAATGTTCAGACCATTCAATTTGTTCAAATTCATTTTAATTTAGATTGGTTTCAACCCAAACCCGGTCCATTGACACCTATATTCTTTTTTTTATATCAATGGACTGGATATTGGCTTAATCTAACCAAATCCAGTATAAATTTATTATGGACAGACCCAGGCCCAGTCAAATCTAATAAATATTTTGGACCAAATTAGTCCAATCCACTATCTTTTTGGTCCGTCCAATCTGTCCTAATTGATTTTACGGGTCCATTGACACCCTTACCTATTTGTACCTGCATTTAATAAATGCTCCCCTTCGTGATCGTGCCTGCCTCTATTTTGGTCTGGTTCTACAAAGTTTACAAAAACCTTTGCTCTTTCCTTTTTGTTCTCTAATCAATCCCACACGGACTAAGAAAGTAGAATAGAACTCAAATAAACCTTATCAGGTTCATTGAGCGTCTTTTCTTCCTTTCTCACACACAGGTTAATTGGTTCATATTGAGCTTTTCCACTGTTAGGGTGTTCCCCTCCGTCCTCCCCACCTTCTCGCATCTAGGCCTGCATAATGTCATGGTTCATTTGTTCCAAGTCGTGACTCGAGAGTGCGTTGGAAAGCTGTTTCATCTTTGCAACTAGAGGGGCTTAATTGGTTTCAAGGATAGTAACGGCATTTGCCATCCTTTCCCTTCTACAGGGTTAAATGCATCACTGTTCTTAGGCTACATTGGTTGCTACTCAGTTTATTTTTACTTAGTACTTGTAATTTATGCTATAATCAGATCGCATATCAGTTACTTTGATTGCTTGCACTCTTGATTTGCCATGACTCCAACACTGGTTAATTTAACTACTTGGAGACCCATGGGACCGGGGGTGAAGTAAACTAGAAAAGATTTTACAGATGAAGTTTCAAATAAACAACTGCAAACAAAAGAGCAAATGGCAAACTCTTATCCGCAATAAACTTTTTGTATACAGTACACATCAGAGCCCAAGTAAATTTATAATAATAGAATATGAACAAAAAGGTAAAGGTAAAACAATGAAGATGGGAGCCGAGCCAAGCCAAGTTCAGATTAACATTGATAATTGTTGAAGGTGTGGTGGTATCTTACCCTACGTAGTTCCGGCAGAGACCAACTTCAATGCAGCACACAATAGAGCCAGCCTTTTCAGTCAGACTGCATGCCCCTCAGCACACGCAATATGGAAAGGAACAGGTTGAGGATGTCCAGATACAGAACGGCAGAGGCCCAAACGTACTCATCATATGAATATCGCTTTATCAGGTTGTCTGTATCATAAACAAGATAACCTGAGAAAATCATAGCACCGATCGCACCATAGATGGCAACCGACGTTGGCCCAAGTGGGAAAAACATCTGTTCAATTGCAAGGAATTTTTTGTGATAAGTCAGATCAGATGGCTACCATGAACAACACAACTTTATCAAATATAGAATTACATTTACACACATGAAATGGGAGAGAGGATAGATGTTTGACCTGGATAAACCCAGTTAGGACGAGTACAAGGAGGCTGGCAAATAAAATAGGCCCGAGAAAGCTGAAATCCTTGCCCTTCTTGGAAGCCCAGAAAGTGTAGCCAGTTAGTGCACAAACTACAGCTGATGTCAAAATTAGCGCTTCAAGTACGATTCTCCCTGCACATGCCAAAAGTGGAATGGTTATCTCCCAAATTTAAAACGTGGTTTTTTCTTTTTCGGTCCAGCATGGGAAGAAGAGAGGAATATGGTAAAATTTGGCTGTCCATGTTTGATAGCCTGAGCTGTCCACAGGGCTCTCCCTGCGTGACACCTTAGTCCACAGACTCCATGTGATGGTAAAAGATGCTGAACGCATAGCTGTGTAGGCCAATGTGTCATGAGAAGAAAGCCTATGGGGAGAGCCCAGGCTGTCAAACATGGACAGCCAAAGTATTCTTGGGGTCAGGGGAGGGGGGCATTGCTGAGACCAACCTTCAGTATTTGCACATACTACCCCAACGGTGATGCTAAGAGATGCAGTGAAAAGTCCAAGGAATACGAGGTTCAATGGATGCTTCTGCTGATATACATACAAGGGCCACATAACTGCAAGAGTTCAGAGGTTTGTCAGTACCAATTAACTGTCATCATAACTTGAGAAAAATGAGGGATGATTTTGATCAGAATTTATAAGTTCTTGAATTTCTGGCTTCAAACATTTTTTATAAGTTCTGGCTTCAACATGCATGCTTTCCTAATTCCTATAGTTGTTCAACATTGATATTATGTTAATAATTCATACAAAAGTCAGATAAAAATTCACAAAAGAAGCATGTCTACCTTTCTTATTTTTATTTTTTATTTATCTTTGGGATAAAAGTGGATCGATATGATCCAAGGGAGCATTAAAGCAGAACATGTAAGAGGTTCTATAGGAGATTCCAGTTCATGTAAACATATCACATAGTATCCCATGTCTGCCTGTGTAAGCATCACTCTGTTTTAAACACACTTCCGAAAAGGCAAACATGTTTTTTTTGGTTAATGTGTCATTTTCTAGAAATATGGAAAACAAAATTGTTTATATTGGTGAACATCCCCTTAGAGAGAACACCCTGTGATGGTTACTCAAACTAAGCTCTACCTGATCACAACCAGCTTATGAAAATAGGGAAGTAAATCCTCAAAAGAATAAGTGCGCTATTACAGAATCTGTAGGGTCAGTTCACATTCTTCAAAGAATAAATGCAAATCACAGACAGAGTAAGGAATTGTTGTTACAGAAAAATTGATGGCCTTGAATTATAGATTGATCATTGACGACACAATAATGATTAGGAATCAGCATAACGACATTTAATCTACTTAGCTGCATGAAATATTTCTACCAAACAATTTCAGTTTGGTTCCCCCCAGGGAACTTGAACTTTCCAGGCTGAAGACAAAAGGACAGATATTGTTGAATTGGGGCCGTCAATTCATATTTGGCGAAGAGATTATGGCAGAGAGGAAGGAGGCCATAAAATATTCTTGTAATGTCAACTTGCAGCTTATGCAATGATCTCAAAGTCTCTACCATCTCCCATGATGTTTTGCGCCATGATATGCTTATTTATCTTGGCAATCCAATGTTATCATGTTCAAGTAGGTAAAATATCCTAGGGCTGCAACAGTGTCCACCTGTCAAAATTTGAATTCAAATTCAATCCATTTATAATATGGATCCACCCCTATCCAATCTGGTTTTCTTTTGCTTCATGAGGCTACACAATTTATTGTATCAAGAATTCAAACCAATTTTACTAATAGATACAACATAAATTTTAGGGATAATAGCATATAAGGGCAACTTTTGAGGTTTAATATCGATATACAAGTAATATTTAAAAAAAAAATAGGTGAACTTTTTAAAAATAATATCAATAAAGGGCAAAAACACTGTTCAGTATCTTCTTCTTGCCATTTGTTCACCAGCGCCGCCGCCACCCGCCTCCGCTGTCCGCTGCCGCCTCCGCCCATCTCTGCCTCCACCTCCGGCAATGTTGCCGGAGGTGGCCAGAGGCAGAGGTGGCAGCAGCAGCACTGGTGGTCATTTCTCTGCCCAACGCCGCCGCCTCCGCCTCTGGCAACGTTGCCGGAGGTGGGTGGAGACAGGTGGCGGCGGTGCTGGGCAGAGGAATGACCACCAGCGTGGCGGGTGGTGAGGGGGCGGCAGCGGGCGGTGGCGGGCGGCGGTGCTGGTGAACAAATGGCAAGAAGATGATGATGAACAGTGTTTTTGCCCTTTATTGATATTATTTTTAAAAAGTTAACCTATTTTTTATTTTTCTTTAAATATTACTTTTATTGATATTAACCCCCAAAAGTTGCCCTTATATGCTATTACCCCTAAATTTTAAGTAAACATATTTAAATTGAATCAAATTGGATCCATCTTTGATCCAATTATAAATAGATTGAATTAGGGTCACCCTTAACTGGATCAAACTCAGATAATACCATCTGCAGCCCTAACAAAAAGAGTCATAGGTTTAACTGTTAAAGTTCCATTCGAGTTACTTTAAATTCATTTGGATTATAACATACAATATCAAAGCCATTTCTAGTTCACTTTATTAATAATATGTAATATTTTGATCATTTTAGTTTAATCTATTAATGCTGCTCAATATCATTTGCAATCGGATTCATATAAATCAGACAGGATTCGATTTGAATCCAAATATTAATTAATCAAATTTGGGTCTAGGTATTTCCAATTTCAATCAGATATCTCTAAAACTATCCAACCAAGGACGCCCCCTTTCTCCTCCCCCTCTTCTCCTTAGTCGCTGACATTCTTTTCTTGATGTCTTCGTTCAGAAAGAAGTTGTATTGGGGTTAGTTAAAGGTTTTTGTGTGGACAAGGAGAATATTCACTTAACACATGTTCAATATGCTAATGACACTATCTTCTCTCTTGAAGACAAGTTGGAATTCCGCCTTAATTTGAAGATGGTACTGAAATGTTTTGAAGCTGTAACAGGGCTACAAACTAATTTAGGGAAGACCGGAAGAGTAGCATTATTGGAATTAATGTTCCCCATCAGAGGTTAGTTGGCTACAGTAATGGGGTGGGATATAAGCTAGAGAGTTGACTTGTAAAGTATCATAGTTTACCGTAGGGAAGTAATGCTAACAATGTTGGTTTTTTGGGCTCTAATCTTAGAAAAATGTGACAACCAGTTGGAAGCTTGGAGAAAGAACTATATATTCAAAGGGGGTAGACTTCCCTTAATCAAAGCTTCCTTGACCAATATTCCAAGTGGGCCGGGCCTCAATTGCATCTCTGAGAGGAATACAACTCTTTTAGGTAATTGGTTTCAGAGATACTAGAAGGAACCTTAATTCACAGCAAATACGGAAGGAACAGAATTTCCATTAATCAGAAGGATCTCATCAGCCAATCCCTGGAAAGGTATCATCCAAACTCCCCCCTTTTTTCAACATAACCTTAGAATCTTAGATTTAGTCTAGGAGATGGCAATCTTATCAAATTCTGGATTGTTTTTTGGTGGGGCCCTTCACCCTTTAGTGGGTCCTTCCCTAGCCTTTTTAACTTGATTTGTGCTAAACAAACCTTGGTTTCTTCTACTCTCATTAACGGAACACAGGGTCTTTCCTTTAACTTTAATTTTTGTAGAGGCCTCCTTGATCATGAGTTGGTTGAGATGTCGTCTATTCTCTCCTTGTTGTCTAATGTCCCCTACCTCCTCTTGATAAAATAATCTAGTCTATAACCCATAACAGATCCTTCTCTATCAAATCCTTCTTCCTTAGCCTGGTCTTTGAGCCCTTTACTTCCTCTTTCCCAGTTAGAAGGATATGGTTTTCCATGGTTCCTCAAAGGATTTCCTTCTTCCTTTGGGAGGCAACATGGGGTTAGTTGAATACTTGTGATACCTCACAAAAGAAAAGGCTTGGACAGTGGTGCCTCTCCCCCCATGTTTATGTTATGTGTCTTGAGAAACTTCCACTAAAGAATCATTAAGAAATAGAATTATATCTCTACTCATCTCTTGGATGTTGACTAACAAGGCATTTTCAGGTTTCGGCTATGGGGACTTAAACAGGAATCTGTTAGAGATTCTTCATTCGTCTCCTAGGTCCTCAGCCTTCCATTTCCCCAAGAACAGAAACTGCTTTTATTTTGAGGTTCAATGGAAGCTTATGAAGGGTCCATGGCCTTCCTTTGGCGACTGGAATTGGGAGAGTCATTTACAACTTTGATGGCAACTTTGTTGGTGGGCCTTAGTCAGTTAAAAGACCTTTTTTCCTTCTAAAAGACCTTTGGGAGGACATTTGGGTTGGAGATCTCCCTCTAAAAGACCTTTTTCCTTCTTTATATAAAAAAGATGTGATCTCAAAATTCCTTCCATCGATTTTAAATTTGTTAGCATTGTCTTGGGATTTTGGTTTCGGTAGAGGGTTAAGGGATGAGGAAATTGAATGTTTGTCTGCTCTTCTGTGTCTCCTTGATAAGGTTCGGCTGGATCCCTTGAAACCTAAAAAAAGAATTTGGGCCATTCACCCCAATGGGTCTTTTTCTTGTGGCTCCTTTTTCAAGTTCCTCTACCAAACTTCCTCTCAACAAAGTTTCTTCCCTTCCAAAGAAGTCTGGTGTAGGCCAGTCCCCCCCCAAGGTTATGGCTTTGTGTTGGGAAGTGTGGCATGGTAAAGTAAACACGATGGATAACCTACAAAAGAGAAGACCCGTCCTTTGTATTTCACCAAACTGGTGCATTCTTTGCAGATCTCATGGTGAGGATTGTAATCATCTATTTTTATCTTGTAGTGCAACTGCAAAGCTCTGGGCTTGGCTTCTATCTTTGTTTGGGTATAGTGGGGATATGCCAGCAAAAGTAAGTACAATCTTTAACCCTTCTTTTTTCTCTTGGCCCCAAAAAAGAGGAAGGAAAATGTGGAGATGCACGCAAGCAGCATTGTTATGGACAGTATGGGAAGAAAGGAATGCCAGGATCTTCCAAGAAAAAGGGAGGAGCAGTCAAGCCTTAAAGGACTGCATTATGTCCAGGCCAATACATTGGTTAAAGACTCTACAATTATTTAACCACCTCTCTTTTACTGATTGTTGGAAGGATTGGAAATTGGTAGCAAGCTGTTCCTCCTACAAGGTAAGGGTATTGACTAGCTGGGCCCCCCCTYCTCTTGGTTCTTTGAAGCTGAATTTTGATGGGAGTAGCCAGGGTAACCTGGGTCCCTCTGGGATGGGAGGTGTACTGAGGAATGAGACTGGAGAGGTTGTCTTACTCTACTCTGACCCTTTAGGTGTTGGGAACTATCCATGCAGAACTGTTTGCTGCAATACAAGGAATACTTCTTGCAAAAGAAGTGGGTGTGGAGCAGCTTCTAATTGATGGGGATTCTAAGACAGTGGTGGAATGGTTAAATAATCCGGAGGATGTCACTTGGGGTTACAAAAATGAGTTAAAGAAATTCAAATGTCTGACAAGAAATATGTCTATAACAGTACGGTGGGTTGGGAGATCAGCTAATGCATTTGCAGATGTCTTGGCTAAACAAGGGATAAATATGGAAACATTGCTCTGGGCACAACTGTAACTCTTGTTTTAACATCAAGATTCATGTAATTTCTGTTATAGTTCTTGTATTTGCTGTTAGGAGAGGTGACACCTCGCGCCTCTAAAGGGATGTTCTTGTAACCAATCATTAATTTAATGGAAGATGAATTTATTTATCAAAAAATAAACCACTGACTCACTGCAGTTTGATTCTCTGTTAGTTGAGGGTAACCATAGAATCACTAGTGGATGGGCTAATAAGAGAAGTGCGTGTCCTTGTAGGCTTGCTCATTTCTTGCAAGAAATTTTTGACATCTCAGATCTGATCCATTGCAGCTTTAGAGGATTCCCAGAAGTTTAAATGTTCTGGCATATGCTTTAGAAAAAAACAAATGCAGTGGGAAGGGATACATTGTATAGTGCAAATTCTTATCCTATGTCTTTAATGCTTTTTTTAATGAAAGTTACCTTTTTTTCCAAAAAAAAAAAAACTATGGGAAAAATAAACGAAAACACCATAGGCACCTAAAACCCATAAAAAAAAGTTGGTCAAATCCCCAACAAATAAATTTAATTTCATTTATCTGCGTATGTACTCCAACTAATAACAACTACAACATCCAACAGCGCAGGCGACAAATCTAAATTCAAGCATAATAAAAAACAACCTTGCAGCTTAAAAAATAAATTAATTAACAAATTAACAATGAGATATCAGAAACCCTATAAAGTTGTTCGCTAAAGCAGGAGAAACTAAACCCAGGCCACATCGACAATTAGGAAATCAACATACACATGTAATCCACCGATGGAAGCAAAATACATCACGAAAACCCACGAATCGAAGAATAGAATCTTGAAAACGAGTATGCGTAGAAGGGAAGATAGAGAGAGAGAGAGAGAAAGAAATACATAGCGGATCGGAGACATACGTATCAAGGGCAAGAACGTGAGGAAGAGCAAGAGACCAGAGCTGCTTCTGAGAAGTTCATTGATGGGAGAGTACAAAACGGTTGCAGAAGAGACGATCGTGGTGAGGACGACCTGAGCCGAGAGGATCCCGTACACCTTACGAATAAAACCCCATCGGAGCTCGTTCTCCCCATAACTCAGACCTGGGTAAAGCGTCCCAGATTCTAAGTCTAAGTCTCCCTTGCTCAGGCTCGTGAACCCGTACATCTCTCTCCTCCCTTTCCCAGATCCCTCGACGTCGACGGCTCCACCAGCAAATCGAACCGACGAAAAATTATGGAGGTGAGGAAGAGTGTCGGAGATATTTATGTAGTAGAGAGAGAAGTGAGTTTACGAAATTGCTCCTGAACAAATGGACAAGTCAATGGTATTTTGTGCGATTTACTTTTTGAGGGCAAATATGTGTTTACGCGGAAACAGACAAAGGGAAGTTGATTGGAAATTGTTAAAGCTCCGTTTGGAAGGAATACTTTTACAAAAAAAGGTTTGGAAGGAGTATAAATACAAATATTTTGTATTATTTAGTATGTATTTTTACTATAAATTTTTGTATTCCTTCGAATATGAGCTTAGGGCTCAGTTTGAAGGAGTATAAATACAAAATATAAATATATAAAGTACAAAAATTTTTATTTTATACATATTTGTATTTCTACTTCTTTCAAACTGAACCTAAAGGAAAAATAAGTTAAGGGTAAATTAACAAATGCCTGAATTTTCATTTACATAAAGATCCCCTAAACATTAATTGACCAAAAATACCTCTATTTTCTCCAAACAAAACCATTTAAATCATCTCACTAGCATAAAAATAAAGTTTTTTAAATTCTCGATTCATTTCACTCACATGAATATTGTCTCTCTTCATCTTAAAATATAAAGATTATCCACTCCTTTCACCAATGATTCAAGAAAAAACAAACGAAACTATAAATTTATATGATTATATCTATTATAAAGAAACTAATGGTGCGCAATCCGGCAGGTCTTAGCTGTCAACGATCTTGCCTCGGGCTGGAGCAGAAGGTGCCTGAAACGGAGGAGAAAGCGAGTAATCTCTAGGGAAGAATCCGGTGAGAATGCTCCGAAGCTCAAGTTAGTATTTCCTCAAAGGCAAGATAAAACCAGATAGCGCAAAGTTATCACATACCTCTCTTCTTGGGGGGAAGGGGGCCTTTTATAACCACTTCGTGCACTCACTCCTAAGCTTCTGTCAGGTCGAGTATGATTACCCCGGCACTTCTGCCAATTCGGGTGTCACCACCTCTGCTGGGGCAGAACCGCCACTGCTCTCTTTGTCGGAGCCGTCTCTATAACTGGAGATGGCGGTGGCAGGTGGCGGTGGCAGGTGGCGGTGGCAAGTGGTCGTTGAAGTGCGGCTGTCAAGCGTCAGATCCCAAGTCAGTCAGGTGCGCCACCTCAGGATACAGATCCTTCGGTGTCTGGTACGATACGGTTGTTCAATTCGGCGTCCTGGAGGCGAAGTGTTGGAGTGGTGTGCAAGGTGAAGTCTTGAGTTCGGATGGAGGTGTGGCCTGAACTACCATGGGGCGAGCCAGTTCGGGTTGTTTTGTAAGGCTCAGGGTCTAAGGGAGAGCTCGGGCTCCTTGCGGGGAGTTCGGGCTCCTTGTAGGGAGTTCGGACCGCTGGTTCCTCCTTTCGGAGCTCGCGCCTTGGGTGTGCTGTTGTGCTAAGCTGTTATCTTTGCCACGTGTTGAGTGGTTACGAGGTCAGGCCAAATCTTCCTTCATCAATTGCCCCCCACTCCTCGTGCAAAGGGACTTGCCCTGGCGCGGGGAGTTCGCGAGGTGACAGGTGGATTTGACCCGTACTTTGAACTGGTTTTGACTGATAGCGCGAAGTGCGCGTTCGTCAGGATTTTTTCGGGTTTCTCGAGTGCCAAAAAGTCGGGAAACGCGCCAATCCGTCTATAAATACTAACAGACGTGACAGTACATGTTATTTCAAAATTCAAAAAACGCGCCGTTGGGAGACGTGACAGCGGGCGTCTTTTCAAATTTGAAAAAACGCATCGTTGTCGCCTTTAATGCGGGGAGACGTGCGCTGGCGCTCTTTCAGTTTCAAAAGGCGTGCGACCAGTCACGTCTCGGTCTCAGGAGACGTGTGGTCAGCGCGACTGCGGGCCGTTGGATTTGCTTTGATCAGAACCGTTGAATTTTGGTTACTGTGGGTATAAATAGTGGGGGACCCCAGTCGTTTTGTCACTCATGCGTTTTGCTTCTTGAGCTCGCGTTCAAGTTCCCGTAGTCCATTTGCTTTTTCCGGGTGAGTACTTTCCTGGAATCCTTCTCCTCCCGATGTCTAGCTTGAATAGCTCAGACAGTTCTTCGAGTGGGTCAGATGCAGGTTCTACGAACCGAGCTGCATCCCCCGACAGCCCTAGTGAACCCGAGGTAGAGCTCGAGGAAGAGTTCG